ATTCATGAGACATGGCACGTTTGCTGAGGTCCTCAGCCATGAAAATAGGTTTCAAGAAAGTGACACAACCAGCAATTAGGCAGATCATCCTCTGCCAAATGCCACTGCCGGGAGCCCTTGGAGGGAGATGGTGTGACAGGAGTCGGTGTGTGCTGTCTGCTGAGGAGGCTGGGAATCGAGATGCGGGGGGCCTGGGTGGCCTGGGTGGAGCACGAGGACTCTGCCTGCACTTGAACAGGACAGGCTGGCTCGGCTCAGAGGTTTCCAGTTCAAAGTCCGAGGCTACAGGCCGGCCCTCCCCACGCGGCCAGGCCCCACCTTCCCACCGCTTATGTTTATCTCGCTTCTCATCTCGCTTGCTTAACTTTTGATGCCTCCTTCGCAACTTGACACGTTCAAGATTTTTTAAAAATATACACATTGAAGGCACCATTGGCCCATGGGCCTCTTTCACAAAGGAACTCAAGCTCCAAATAAAAGGCAGAAGACTGCCGGGCGCCCTGGCCTCTTTGCAAAGAGGAGAACGTCCCCTGCTTCCCTGTGATTCTAACCTGGAGGGGAGGGGAGGGTGGGTACTGTCGCTCAGCATAAACCTAGCTCTGTAATCACTATTGACTTTCAAAGCACCAAGTTGAAAATCCTTCTCCAAATATTTCTGGGCTGAAAGAACAGCAGCATCACCAAACCAAGCCTTGTTTTTTTCCTTGTTCTTTTCCTTCTTCGGAATGCCTGGCATCTTCCTGTGGCTTTTTTCTAACCTCTGACCAAACCCGTCCTCGGAATACAGGTGTGGCCTTGTTCCTTTTTACCCTTCTCAACCGCTTCCTGGAACCCTTCTGGGGAAAAGACAAATGTTTAGAAAACTGCCAAGCAAATAAGGATCTCCTTTGATTTCCACATGCATGTGTCCAATTTGTGCCCAAAACTCTGCCCTTGGGCAGCAGTAGCCCTTTTTATTAACTGTCTATTCATTCCTCCGCTCAGCCACTCTTTCAATGAACGTGTATCAAGGGCCAGTTACCTGTGAGCAGGGCACTGTCGGTGCAGTCCTGGGGCTCTTGTCTGTGACCCCCTGACACGTGAGTTCTAACCGCGGAGATGGCTGTGAACACCTAGCGTGGGGCCCTGGCGTGCTGACCGTGTCTGGTCACCTCTGCTCATGTGAGGCTGTGAGAACATCCTCTGCAGGGGGAGCAGACCTCAGGAGGCCCCCTGGTGACAGGCGGTTCACACCCCCCAGCTCGTGGGGTCTCTCAACAAGCTTCTGGGGTGGTGGGGGCTGGCAGGCCCTGACTTCCTCACGAGGACACTGGGCTGATGGGGGCTAAGTCTTCGTGCAGGACTGCCTGGGCGGGGCCCAGACCCCTCCTCTACACGCACCTTCTCACAGCATCTCCGCCCTCTCTAGGTTTGGCAACGTGACCCCACCTTTTCTGGTGTTTTCCTCTGGTTCCTTCCTGGCCCGGGAGGCTGCTCCAAGCCCCTCGGGGGCGTGCCCTTGGGCTGCATCTCAGTTTGTATGTTCTGCTGGGTGAAAGACTATAATGCACATGCTCCAAGAGCGCACGGCGGAAAGATGGGCTCATTCCCCCTTTGTTTCTAAATTTGCCTAATGTGTAAACAAGGGCACCGTTGCATCTTGCAGAATTTCCAGGCAGAATAGAATCTAACCCACTCTCTAGGCTCCAGACAGCACAAGCGCAGGGGTATAGCATTAGCACACATCGGAAATGCCCACTTTCCGAGAAAAAGGACATCGGCTTTTGCAACGAAAGGCCTAAGTGAATGTTACGTCAGGGGAAAAGAGTCTTTGGCCAGGCCAGAGGGCGGCACGGCCAACGGAGGACATGACCATCACAGGCCCACGTCTGAGGTCACGGAGAGCTCCCCACACCTCCAGCAAAGGGTCGTTGTGTTATGGTCCACGTTCTGTTTGGGGTTTAGCTATGTAAGGGTTTGGTCTCCCTTCAGGGAAGGGACTGGGTTTTTGTTTTGTAACATATTTCTATAAACTCTGCATTAGCCAGAATCATGTTGTGTATTTTATTTATTTATTTTTTTGTGTTGTGTATTTTAAATGACTTGTCTGACCACCCACTCATCTCTTTTGCAAAATATCCCCTAGATCCTCACCTGCCACCCCTTGGGGCACTTTGCGGGGTTTCTCCAATAGCAGGGCGCCCAGGATCCCGCAGGTCAGCCCTGGGATGGAGGTGGCCTCTCACGTCGGATGGTAGGAAGCGCCCCAGTTCCCTGACAACCGGCCCCAGACACCCCAGATCGGGTGCACTCTGGTGTTTCTCCCTGGTGACTGGTCCTGGGGACCCCTCAGCTCCCAGGACTTCCCTCCAGCCCTCCAGGGTCCCTCCTTCACTTAGGCCAACACAGTGATGAGCTGGCTGAAAGACAAGCATTCTTCATGAGAAACCCCCCTTCTCCCCTGCTGAGCTGGCAGCTACCTTTCCGAGGCAGCAGGGGACCACTCCCTCTCCAGGGCCAGGTACGGGGGGAATTTGTACCAGACTAGAAGGACAGGCAGAAAGGGTCAACCTTCCGGTGTCCCCAGGGTGACCACGGTTCCCAGTGCTCCATTTCTGCCCATTTTTATGGAAGACTGCAGGGTAGGGATGGGAGGGAGCATGGAGGGTGGCCTCTGTTGTGGGGCTGCAGGTAAAATACAGGATGCCCAGGTCGTTCTGAATTTTAGATATACAGAAAACGCATTTTAGCATGAGTGTGTCCCCAGTACCGCCTGCATTCTTGTTGGCTAAGCCCGGCAACCCTATGTGAGCACCCTAAGCTTCCTGCACCTCTCATCAAGGGGACCCCGCCCCTCTCACAGCTTCCAGCAGTGACCCCGCCCCCCTCTAGAGCCTGGGGGCCTGCAGTCAGCCTGGCTCAGCTCCGTCTGCACCTTAAACAAATCTGAGAGCAGCCCCACCTGTCTGGTTTCCCCGGGGGTGATTTCGGAGCTGTTTCACTGGCATGGGGCTGTGAAAGTCCTGCGGGTTCCACTGGGAAGCCACTTAAGTCAGTGCTGCTTGAGTGTGAGTCGTGTGTGAGTCCAGATGCGGTGTCAGCAGTCTCTAGTGGGGCCTGAGGGTCTGTGTCTCTGGCAGGCTCCCAGGGGACATCCGCCAGGCGCTTAGAAATGGAGATAAGGTGCGGTCAGACCTGGTCTTAGGGGATAGCCGGACTCAGTTTTATCTCATGGTCCTGGGAGGCTGGAGTCACTTCAGACTGTGGGTTGTGACCCATCAGTGACTCACAAAATCCGGTTCATAGGTTGTGAGCAGTTTAAATTCCTGGACACTGTTCTTTTAATAACAGCTCAGCATTTATTTAGAAGCAGCGGCAATTTTTACAAATAAATACCATATGTTAATAACTTTTATGGCCAGAATAAGGGATTTGTTACATGCATTCATTAGATGTCATTTTCCAAGCCACATGATTTATTGGCACTCATGAGTAAGTTAAACTACCTAAAATGTGGATAATAAAATAAATCACGTGTTTCGATAAAAAGAAAGAGACTATGCTGCCCTCGTCATTTTCATAATTCTCGCTGACTCTTGACTGTTGGCTCACGTGCCTGTCGACTGCCTGATCTCAGAGTCAGGGGCTGGCTGTGCACTCTGGTCTCACCCTAATTACTCAGCAGAGAGAGACTCGGGGGGACCACACCTTGGGAGGGGAGAGGGGCCCAAGGGTCAGCCTGGGGAATACCCAGGATCCCTGCCTGGCCTTGAGAAGAGCCGGGAGTCCCCGGGGAAGCAGCAAGGACAGCGTCTTGATGTGCGGGCAACTCTCTCCCACACCCTCACTTCCGAAGCAACATGGGTGCCTCCGTGGATGCCAAAGGCCCAGGAGGCCCTGGTCTCTGGCCAAGCAGCCTATTCTCCCGTCCTGGAGGCTGTCAGAGGGTGGGGAGGTGTGTACTTGCCTGGACTGTGGGTGAATCTCCGTGGATCGTGGCTGCCTCAGCAGCAATGGGCCCAGCATCCATAGCACAGGAGTCCTCGTGGAAAGTGGTGGCTGACACACGACCCTGTGTCTCCCAGCGAGGCCTTGGCCGTCCTGGCGCCTGGAAGTTCCCGGATGGACAGCCCTTGGTTCTGAGTCTGAAGCCATCACAGCAAGGCCTTAGGGTCTCCCCAGAGTGGCCCCTTGAAGATGTCCTTCCCAGGGCCCTCTCACGCCGGCCTTGCTCCTTCCTCCTCCAGACATGATGGGAAGCAGGGAGCCCTCGGGGTCCCTGGTGTCAGCAGACACCCAGGCCGGCATCTCTCTCCCCAGCTTGCTCAAAGCTTTCAAACAGTGACCCGAGGCTGAGACCCTGCCTCTGCGGCGATGGGTTTGGCGAGAGGAACCGTCTGCGTGTGACGATGAGCGATGAGAGAGCCATCAGGCTAGACGCCGTTCTGACAGTGAAGGAGGGCTCCCATCTGCTCTTCCGTCAGGTTGTTTAAGGGCAAGAAGCCTAAAACTCCGTCTTCTGGGTTTTGTTTTGGTTTTCTGTTTCTGTCTTCTTATTAAAGCAGATGAGAAGCAGCAGCGTTTCCTCTCTTTCTTCTTCCTGGACAAGCAGGGACTGAGGGGGAACCTGTGTTGTGAACTCGCCTCCCTCGAGACCTGCTTGCATGTGAGAGCAGCTTGCATACGGTGCACTTCTGCTCATCATCACCTGCGTGGTGATCACACACTCGACGCGCTCGCGGGCCCGGCTCTGCAGAGGCTCGGCTTTGTTTTTAGACTTTTTAATTGGAGTGGAGTTGATTTACAGCATTGTGTTAGTTTCTGCTGCACAGCAAAGTGAGTCAGCCATACACAGACGAATACCCACTCTCTTCTAGACTGTTCCCGTGCAGGTCCTGACAGAGCACCAGAGTTCCCCACGCTCTGCGGTGTCCCCTCCGACCCTGACTCGTGGCAGGGCAAAACGCGAGAAAACTAATGCTGAAGGAGCAAGTGTGTGGGAAACGCTCGGGTGCACGGCGTCACCCGGCTCCTATCCACAGCTCCCTGTGGACGGTGCCGTCTGAACATCCTTGCCTTCTCAGCGTCCACGTCACAGCAGGACCACGCTGTCCCCGTGTCAGCGACCACTGGACCGAAGTGGTGCCGACCAGCTGGTGCCCCGGGCTCAGCCCCTTCCCTGGGCCCAGGTCCAGAACCTTCCTCCGGGTGCTCCGAGGCTGGTCGAGCTGGTTTCTCTCCTCCAGCTCCTCACAGCCCCGTCTTTTGCTGTAGGACAGTTTCGCCCACGTATGGTTAATCCGGGTATTTGGGGGAATAGTTCCTGAAGCCAGGCAGTGCTGCGGCTTCACCCCCGTCTACACACCTTGGAATAAGCCTAAAGGCCTTTCTCTCCCTCCTGTCCTAATCGCTGAGCTCATGCTGTTGCCAGTACTGCGTTGGGTGCTGGAGAATCACAGACAAGACACGGCTCTGCCCTCAGAGGACCCCTGGGTACCGGGAACGCCACGGACCGGGCCCTGCCCCCCCCCCCCCACCCCGCCAGGGCCCTTGGCCCAGCATGAGCCCGCGCCCCGCCCCTTAGCCGAGCTCGCGCGGGCGGGGCCTCGCAGGGGAGGTCTCCCCTGTCTTAGGCCACGGGTGCCCCAGCGGGCCGGCTGCACTGGGAGGGACGCTGCTGGCTGGAAGCTGAGGGGTTAACCCGCTCATCCCAGGACAGCAGCCTGGAGCCTGGGCACCAGGGATTCAGGGTGCCCCCGAGGAAAAGGCGGGGGGGGCCTGGGAACGCGCCCCTTCTGCATCTGCCCCCAAGGCCCCGCGGCCACACTGCTGCCGGGCTAGGGGCCAGGGAACCTAGGGAGCTGCCCAGAGGTGCCCCGAGGAGGGACCTGGGTTCCAGGGCCAGGGCTCCGTGGACAGGCCGGCTGAGGGTGTCAAGAATGTTCAGGGAGCTTCCGGCTTTGCCTTCTTTCTCCTCTCTCTTATTTCCCTTTAACATCTCTCCACCCTCATTTTAATCTTATATAAAACTAATTCTCCCCCCCAAAAAATCCACTTTCAGAAAATATTATATGCATATTTTTTCCAAAATATTTTTCCTGCATGTAAATCTTCTTTCCTTTCCCTTTTGCAGCTTCCAGCAAGTTTTTTTTCCTCCCCTCCAGTTCTCCCACAAGAACAAGACAGGGCCTCAACCCTCTTCCCCTAAAACCTGGGACCCTCCCCCCCGCACTTTCCTCACCCAGGAAACGGCGGGCCCCCAGCGCTCGCTGCCTTCCTCCGCAGAGGCTAGGCACCCCCTTCGATGTCCGCTTCCTCTCCGGCCCCAGGGATGGAGCCGAGCTCCGAGCACCTTGGGTGAGGCGGTGGCCCCACAGGTGGACGGGTCTGCCTGGTCCTGGAGAACCAGGCGCGGCAGCCCAGCGGCTCTCGGCTCTCGGCTCTCGGCTCTCAGAGGCCCTCCCACCCTCCTCGTCCCCCACGCTTTGGCCGGGCTAAACTGGACACTACGGGCATCATTAAAGAAGAAAAGCCGAGAGCTGCGGCTGGAGGGGCTGCCGTCTCCCTGCCTAGCAGGAAGAGAGAGGGTGCCAGGGCGGGCTTGTGGTGGGGCTGACTGTGGTCTCTTTGAAGTTCTTTCCTCAAGTGCCCCCCTCACTCTGGCCCATGCCTGCCCCCCACCCCCGCAGCACTTCCTGGTGTGAGGATCCCCACGTGGAGACTAAGGACGGGTTTCCTGCATTTCCAGAGCTCCGAGGGTGACCCTAAGTGAGCATCAGAAAGCTCCAAGCCAGAGGGGTCGCAGTACTTTTTAGAAGTGTGTCTGTCATGACTTAAAGCCAGAGGATGCGGGGTGGTGGGGGAACCGGGTGGGGGGAAGAGATGAAAACAGAAAGGAGGCGAGGGCAGCAGCTAGGAGGGAAGACGTCTGGGCTGGGCGCTCGCTGGCCACGCGTGTGCTCAGGTGGTGAGTGAGCGCCTGGTTTACGGGAGGCTGCCCAGCGGAGCGTGTCTTTGGCCGGAAATGGCTGAATAAGCACCCTGATGCGCTGGCTTGTAATGTCTCTGCTTTCATCCTGAGATGATTCACTGACAGTTTACTGCCCGAGCACTGGCCTGTCCTCTCCTGGGGGTCAGGCCCCGGGGGAGTGACTGTGTAGATGCCACCGAGATGGGCCTGCCGATGAACAAGAGAGCCGGCCGCCCAGCTCAGGGCCCAGTGCGGCCCCCACGGCCCCCTCCTCTTCCCATGACCACTCCTGCGGCCACAGCCCGTCTGGGTCTGGGTTTGGACCCGGCCCCCTTCCAGGGCGCTGACTCCAGCCCTGCTCTGAACCGAGCCCCACCCCGGGGCTCAGTGACCCTGCTGGGGGCTCCCCCTGCCCGCTGCCTCTGTCGGCTCCCTCTGTTGCTCCTGCTGGCTCGAGGCCCGGCTTCCTTCCGCCACCGTGGGCCGCGCTCCTGGCGGGTGTGAAAGTCAGGTGTCAGCGCTCGGCCTCCCCGAGGCTCCCCAGGGACGGGGCAGAAGGCAGCACCAGCATGCCACTCCTCTCGCTCGGGACAGAGGCCAGACCCTGCTGTCCTCGGACTCTGAAGACCCCTCGCTCCAGGCTCAACCTTCCAGGGGCAAGAGCGTCTACTAACGACCAGACTGTGGTATGGTCCCTGGTTCTCTCAAAACCAGATACATGTCCCTAATCAAGGAAGATATAGAACCCATGAATGTCAAGTGCTTCTGAAATGCAGTTTTGCAGATTGTTGCCTCTTATTACAAGAGAAGTTCTATGTATGTTATAGAAACATCAGAAAATATAGATGAGCAAATGAACCATATCCAACAGCTATAATTTAAATTATCTAGAAATGATTGCTGGTAACCTCTTGGAGAGTTCATTCTACATCTGTCCACAGATACCCAAACATACATGTACACAGGGGTCTCTGGTATGCGTACAAAGATTTGGATGCATGGTATGTGCTTCCCTGTGCCTGCAGACATGCACATTCTCTGTGTCTTGTTTGTAAACATATAAACACCTGCATCGTGTGTCTTCCACATGTGTGCAAACGTGTATGTACCTCTGATGGTTCTTTCATATGCTTGCAGGTACACACGTACATTATGCGTGTCTTTCCCACATACACAAACACACATGTGCATTGCATGTGACTTTTACAGACACAAACACTGGCATATGATGCATTTCTAAAATTTGTATGCAAGCATATGTGAACAGACTTTCCCATCGTGTGTACCTTTATGTGTGTATCTGTTATTTTTCAAAAGCAGACGATGCATAACTGGCCTCCTGTGACTGACACTTTCACTCCTTTGTTTCTCACTCTTGGAGGGTTGCACGTCTTTCCACACCGATAGGTCCCCTTCTGCTGCGGTGTCATCCACAACAGCGGTCTAGTTTAATACTGGGCTGTGCGGATGATTAACGGTTTATCTAATTGCTCCCAGTACCAGACATTCGGGTCGCTCTCTGCACTGTTTCCGAGCAGCGTCCTCGGGTTTGCCGTGGTCTCCGTACAGAATTAATCGCTCCCTTTACCAGCCACTCACGGGAGATTCAGCTATCATTTCTGTGGCGCGTTTTGGCCCCAGAGTCTCTTGTGAGCAGTTCTGTCCGCCTTCCCATCTCTGCAGGGACGGTGGTTGCACTCGGGGGACCGGGTGTCCAAGCCCCCCTGCCTCCCCTGTCCCACCAGCAGCTCAGACCCTTCAGTTTAACTGGTGTTTACTGGGCTTTGTCCCACAGTTTGCACACGGTCAGTTCTCAAGTAAAGTATCGAGTGGAAAGACTTTTGTACAGATGGAGCCTGGGAGAGAAGCTGGTGGCTACCATCCCTTTATCTGTGTTAGAGGCACTGCAGATGCGGAGTCAAGACGCACAAGACTTGAGACCTTGTAACTGAGCTCCTCAGGCCTTTGCCCCCTTGGATGGCGCTTAGGATGGCATCTAATAAAGCACGAAGAAGATTAACTGCAAGCCCTTCCCGCAGGGTTGTGAAGACCGTCAAAGGCCTGGGGCCAGTGCGCCCTCAGCGTCAGCTCTCATTAGTCTTATGGGCTATGGTTTCCTGAATGAAATAAACGAAGGTTTTAATTAAGTGCTAAGCTCTTAGTGGGTACCAAGTTGACTTGAATTAAGCAAATTCTCAGTATAACACAGAGATAAGCTCCAATACTTTCGCCACCTGATGCAAAGAATTGATTCATTGGAGAAGACCCTGATGCTGGGAAATATTGAAGGCGGGAGGAGAAGGGGACGACAGAGGATCAGATGGATGGCATCGCCGACTCGGTGGACGTGAGTTTGAGCAAGTTCCAGGAGCTGGTGATGGACAGGGAGGCCTGGTGTGCTGCAGTCCATGGGGTCGCCAAGAGTCAGACAGGACTGAGCTACGGAACTGAACTGAACTGAAGAGAGAGAAAAGAAGAACAAGAATTTCTTACTGATACAGTTTCCTGAGCCTCCTCAGGGCCGGTCCATCCAAGATCACGGGCCTGGGATTCTGGTGAGTGAGTCTGAGAAGCCTTCCCGGGGCCCGGGCTGTGATGGTGACCCAGGCCTCGCTGACCACACGGTGTGCTGTGTCTGAGGGGCTCGGACTGGGACTGTGTGGCTTGTGACTGTGACTCTGATTTCCAGGCGGAGAAATTACACCACGCAGAACCGTTTAAAAGCGCTGACTGGGTATTGCAGGAGGGACTGTACCCAGCCAGGAGCCAGCCCCAGGTCACTCTGGAAAACTAAGGAGGATCCCGCCAGGTCTGCTCTAAGCCACGATCCTTCTCCTCCGGCTGCTGCTACGCCTCCCTGTCCATGTCTGAGCAAGAATGTCTTCTACCTTGGGGCTCCATGCTCCAGAAGCACCTTGGGAGATGTTTATTTGCATGTTCCCCGGCCCCCCAGACCCAGACAGCGACCTGAGGCACTGCGAGCTGGGGATCAGAAGTTTCCTGCTGCCTGGGGGCTTCTGACTTAGCTTTTCCTGGAGCACACATTGAGGAGGCATTTCCGTGGGAGCCACACAGGTTCTCCGCGTGAGAGGAGATGCCTCCTCTTCCTTGATTCCAGTCTTTAATCACTGAGATACACCCTCTCTTTAAACTCCACTAATTACACGACGTGAGGACACACCCGAGCTGGGGAAGCCCACGTTTCAATAAAACCGCCCGTCCTGGCTCTGAAAAAACAACCACTGGCTTCCCTCACTCCCTCTGTTCATCTCAGAGGTTCCAGAGCTCTGAGAGATATGCAATTATTTTATTTAAGGCTTCACACTACTCTTGCTGCCAAAATGTTTTGAAAATCGCAAATTGCTGTCTGAGCTCTCAGTGGTGCTGTTGTACTGGATTTCCTGACAATAAAAATAAGGCTTTTCATTTTCATCATTTATAGTAAGTGCAGCTAATATTAAGCGTAATAAAAAGGCACTTCATTTTCTCAGAAAGAAAAGTTACTCAAGACCTGCTCAGGGAAGGTGCTGAAAAATAAAAGAACAATGGTTTTCATCATTCGTGTTTGCTATCAATTGCATTTTTCAGCCTGTGACACATTGCTAGTTTTAAGTTCATTTTATTTCCCATGACTTATCTTGAGCAATTTTTATCAGTTATTTCTAATTAGCGTAATGAAACTGATTGCCTGTTTTGAATTATTCATCTCATTGAATGAAATGGCGTGTAATCACCTCTCTGCCTTGTGTCAAAAGGGTCACAAGGACACCAGGTGCTCCAGGGGCTGCCTCACTTGCACACAAGTTCTAACACCCGTGCGGACACGTGTGCACACATGCACAGGCTCAGAATAAAGCCGTGCTAACCCGAACCTTCTAGGATGACCCTTCAGCGCAAGGCCCAGAGCTTTGGGCATCAAGTCAACGCTGAGCAGAGGACAGAGGGCAGTGGGCTGGAGACTGTCCCAAGGGGAGCAATGAGGTCTGGGACCCACAGGGTCTCAGAGCAGGCTCAGGGTGCCCCACCGTCCCCAGCCACCACAGGCAGGACCCAGCTCGCCTGGATCAAGGGTGCAGCTGACTTTATAAGTCAAGGATGTCAAAGAAATGCATGAATAAAAATCCAGTATCCTCACAACTTTCCAGGACTGTGTCTCCAGGCAGTGATTAAACTTGGAATTGAAAATCAAAAGAGAAGGCACTTCCATTACTGTCAAACCTGCGTTCTGAATCTCTTTGATGTGAACCGCTTGCATTTCCTGTCTCATTCATCACCATGATGTTTCCTAAGAACTCTGCGTGCCACGCAGCCGAAGACAAGATTCTAACCGGACGTGAGGCACCCTCTGGCCTTTTCCCATCAACCGCAGGAATTTCTTAAAGCACATCTTTCAAGTCAGGCACAGCGGAGAGCCAAGCTCTGAGCATCTGTTTCCCCACCTGTGATGACAGTAAGGCCCGTGGTGATCGGAGCTTGATGGAACAGCGCCTGGTGTCCACGCCCGTGGGTAGGCGCGCCCCCAGGCCACACGTGTGCGAAGTCAGCCTCCTCCTTTGTGTGACCACACGGGCATCTGTGGGCCCGGCCAAGAGGTGTGAGTAAGGCAGGATGTGGAAAGGGCTGCAGCCTCCAGCCACACGGGAAAGACAGAGCTCCATGAACCTAGGTGCCCAGCCCCAGGGTCCCACCCCCGTGTCCCCACCCCCGGGTCACGGCTGTGCTGGGCAGCGGTCCCCGAGGCTGACTTCCTGCGGGCGGAGCCCCACCCGCCTGGCCCAGCAGGATGCGGCCCGCAGCGTCTGTGTGTGTTTCAGCTTCGAGCTTACAGATGACCTCTCTCACGAAAACAGACACTGCCTGTTGCGTCTCCGTCTTCAGGACAGATCAGATCCCAGGACCCGACTCGGCCGCACTGAGGTTCCAGGAGATTGGGAGGCCGGGGCATCTTCCCCCAGGCATGTCTGCTGGCTTTTCCTACTTCTCGCTGGTCCTCCTCCACCTCTGTCTCTGCAGATCGGGGCCTGGTCCCCAGTTCCACCGACTGTGAGGCGTGGCTGGGGACGCTGCCCTGGCAGAAACAGCCACCAAGCCTGCAGCAGCCTCTCCTGCCCCCCGCTCTGACTTCAGGGAGAGCGGTGTCATCCCCATCGCCCCGGCAGCGTGGTCATCCGTCCCGGGAGGGCGTGGGTTGCCTCAGGAAGGCCATGTTTCTAAATCCATCGCGTGTTAGCAGCTGATGTCAGCAGAGCCGCCAAGAAGGAGAACTTGCAGATGTTTTGCTGAGCAAGAAACCTCAGCCCAGCGCTGCTGCTGGAGCTGTTCCCTGTGAGTCAGAGGGGAATCCCCTGGGGGGCGTCTACTCCCCCCATTTCAGAAGATCCCACTGGGTCCCTTCTTCAGGTCTCTGCTCAGCACTCTCCACGGAGGGAGGCTGGCCGGACCCCGCAGCCCAGCCTCGTCACACACTCACTGGCCGCCCAGCTCCTCCTCTGCTTCCTCCTTCAGCGCGTTTTTCACCTTAAAAATGTCCTTGTTCTACAAAGGCTGCTGCTCACCGGCTGCCTGGCTCCTGCTGCGGTGGAGTCTGTTTATCCCCCGATCAGTCCGACGACCCACAGCCACGCCTGCCCCCTGGGAGATGGCCGTGGGCACTGCACGCCAGCGCTCAGACAGACAGAAAGGGAAATGTGATGGGTTTTCTCCCCCCCCCCCCCCCGATTTTTAAAAGATAAAATACCCAAACGGCAGCACGAGATCACATCCCATTTCATCCTCTTTTAATGAACTGTTTACTCATTCAGACTCCATATCATACAGACGCTATTCTGGACACAAGGGAAAAAAGAGAGGAAAGGTGTATATGTGTGTGTGGGCGGGGAAGTGATGAAAGTGAAAAAAGTGAAAGTGTTAGTCGCTCAGTCATGACTGACTCTTTGAGGCCCCGCCAGGCTCCTCTGTCCATGGGATTTTCCAGGCAAGAACACTGCAGTGGGTTGCCATTCCTTTTTCCAGGGGATCTTCCCCACCCAGGGATTGAACCTGCGTCTCTGCATTGGCTGGCAGATTCTTTACCAGCTGAGCCCCCAGGGAAGCCCTTGTGGGCAAATCCGGAAGGCAGACCCGTTCCTGTGACCCGTGAGTCCAAGGCGGCTCTGTTGGGGTCAGTCCTATCTGTGCTGAGTTGAGGCCCCTTCCCCGTCTACCGACGCCCTGAAAGCCCTCCATGGGGTTCTGGAATAGCCCCCAAGCCAGAGTCACCATGTACCACACATTATTTGGTCCATAAAAATGAACTCTCTAGGAGCAGGACACACAGCATGCTCTTTGTCATCTCCACCTTACAGAAGGTGTCATCATGTCCCATGTGAGGGGACTCGAGTGAAGTTACAGGTTACAGTGAGAACATGGGAGGGGAGTTTCTCCCCGGCGATACCTTCCTTTCTCATTTTATGAAAGATTAAAAATTTCATCTTATTAAAAAAAGGACTGTGTGAAGAAATTAAATTATTTTAATGTGCAGTACCTCTTTGGTATATTAAATATCATTTATTTGAATGCTTTTAATTCAAGAAATGTTAAAATGAAATGTGGGACCCCTTGCAAATAAAATTCAGGTGATTAATTCTGACGTTAGTGGAGAAGAACTGCCAGGGAGACGGTGTCATGTAACACTTTTATCGCAAGAAGGGCAGCAGCTGCAAGGGGAGGAAGCGGGGGTGAGAGAAGGTGGAAGACGGTTGGTGGAGGGGGTGGTCTCTGGCCAGAGAGAAAGCAGGCGGGCAGACCAGAGTGAGGAATATGCTCTGAAGTCCCCCTGGCATCTGAGCGACCCATGGATGAGTCCTGGGTTCGGGAGGTTGCAGGGGACAAGGCTGGATGAACGGCGAACTGGAGGCTGAGCCGGTCTCCTCTTCCACAGTGCTGCCCCCAAACCTCCCTCCACGCCCAGCCAGACCATCCCACAAACCTGAATCCCATCCCTATGTCCCTCCTCACATCACGTGGCGGGTGACATCCTCACGAGCCCAACGGCCACTGACCTGCTCCAAGCCTCTCTCAGCTCCATCCCCACCCACTGGCTCCTCGGACTGCAGCTGCCCTGGGTTCTCTACGGACCACGACTGCCACGGGCCCCCTGCCCACGGCCTCCCTTCTCCCCGGCGCCCCCTGCCCACAGCCTCCATGTCCTCATCCTCCTCCTCCAAGGATTTCAGCTCTGACTCTGCTCCTCCAGACATAACTCCTTCAAGCGGGTCAGCCCTCTGCCCTCGCACCTCGGTCGTCACATCTAGGGGGTGAGGTCCATCTCTGGATCAATGGTGAGCCCCCGAGGGGAGGCACATGCCGTCTGCCAGCTTCCCATCACACCCGGCATCCAGGCAGAACCTGGGGCCCAGCAGGTGCCCAGGCTGCATTGAAGGAAGGCAGGGAGGGGCAGAGGAAGCCCCCTGGGTCCAGCCCCCGTCCCCCGCCCTCCCAGCCCATACCTGCCTGGGACTGCAGCCCCACCTTGAGAGGCAGGTGTTGCCTCCATGATGGACTTGGCTTCTGGCGTCAGAAGCCCCAGATTCAGATCTTCTGGTTCCACCTGCTACCAGATGACCTTGGCTTAGGAACAGACATCCTTCCAAATTCATCTCACCGTCTGTGAAATGGGATCCCAGCGCCTCCCTCACCCAGGACTCTGTGGAAAGCACTTGGCCACGTGGACAAGCAACGTGGATGTTTATTGAGAATGCGTTATGTGCCAGGAACAGTTGTCGATTTTCTATGTATCGGCCCGTTCAATTCTCACCACAACAGCCCCAGCAAGTACCTGTTAAAGGAGCAGTCAGTCAGTCCGAAGCTGCCCAGGTGGCCGTTTTTAACCCCGTGGAAGCAATGGGACTGGACCGGGCGCCCGCCCGCTCCTGCCCGAGGACGAGACCCGCATGCCGGTGCCTTTCCTGCTTTTCTTTGTTGGTCCTCCACAGAGTTTACTTGCGATGCATCTTGCCTGACCCAGCGTCATTTGTTAGCCAGATTCTGGTGACAGCTGGTCTTACCGGCTGAGTTTATTATGATATTTCAACTCACCAGCATCAGGCTTATCAAGAGGAGAGTAGGATTTTCTTAAATAAGAATCTGTGTGGCTTAGACCTATCTTTTAAGCTTGTTCTGGGAGGTAAACACATTTCAAGTAGAAGAGAGGCCAGTGTGTGGTCATCCTTCCTAAAACATTAAACGGTAAACTCCATTTACCAAAAGCAATCCTTGAGTACGTAACTGTCAGTCATTTCTCATATCAGGTTTTATTAAGCTCTATAATTCACTGCCATTTTCTCCTGAAGGAAGACTTACATTTTGTAGACTGTGATGGATAAGGCAGTGGTTAAGAGACCCAAGCCTCGCACAGCACATTTACAACCTCGGGCAAATTACTTCACCTCCCTTACTCTTGGGTCTGCATCACCATGAAATACGGAATAAAAAAATGCGTCCACGTCTCAGCACCATGTCAGGCATGTGAGAAACACACAATAAATGGTACTTGTCATTATTTTAACGTCAGCCTTATTTTTCCATAAATTGGAAAACAGTGGGGAAAATGATGGGGAATTTTTTATATCAGCCTGACCGTGAAAATACTTTGGGTTGTTTTCTTTTCTGGTCTCAGGAATTAAGAACTCACAGAGAACAAAGAAGTTAGGAGAGGAGATAACATTTTCCTTCAAGTCTATAAATAAACAAATTCCTAGTAGATGGCTGTTGAAGTTAGGCTTACCATTCTCCCCAAGAAGTTCAGCTTCCGGTTTCTGAGAATGCAAAAGGCAAGGACTCTGTGTTAATCCACACGGAATGGTGTGGGCTGTAACTGTGAGGGTGGTCATTCTCTGATGGGGCCTTGTCCTTCTGTGGGGTTGTGAACAGAATCCGTGTCTGTTATGGTCCTCAGGAAGGAAACAGTCAGCTAGAACCCGTCCAGATCCTCCCCAGACACTTAATTCTATTCTATTTGGGCTCAAGCCTAACTTCATTAATACGAATGAAAACAACTGAAAATCAGGGGGAAGAAATTCTGCAGTATTTATTATGCTCATTAGGAAATATTTCTGCTTATGCCTTATCCTCAGGAGTATTTTGATTCCAGTTTCTGTTGAGTGCCCAGCATCTCTTTACCATCCACAGAGCTCTGTGGGCACCTCCCACCCTGCCTAATACGGCCGTGAAAAGACATGCATGACCCGGCCCTTCCGAGGAGGGTTTTGGCTGCCAGCCTCCGAAGAGGCGACCGTCCCTGAGGCCGCTCCGGGTGTCTGCACGCCTGGGTGGTCCTTCCCACTCCAGGCCGGGGCTGGTCTGTGTGACCAACGGCACAGAAATGGTGGTGAGTCAGAGGCCAGGTGACTAAAGGCATCAGCTCTGTCTTGCTCTCTTGCTCTCACTCATGGAAGGGGCTGCGGGGTGCCCCGTGGAGACCCCCACATCATCAGGAACGGGGAGGATCTGAGGTCGTCGTGTCTCCCGTCACATCCCAGGCACTCACCTGGGGAGCAGCTTCTCCAGCCCCCGGGGAGCTTTCAGATGATACTGTCTTGCTGACGGCATGACGGCAACCTCGAGAGAGACCGTGAGCCAGACTCTTTTCAGAGAGAGAGAATGTTGAGTACTAATAATTCTCCTTTCCCAGGGCTGACCCATGGGTTTCTTTTTGCAAATACATTTTGAGGCGTACTTTTCTGGCCCTGCCTTCATGCCACATAGAGTTACACCATGATTTTAAACAAGAACTATTTACAAACGCGTGCTCAAAAACAGAATGACGTCTGTCCCTCTGCCTGTCCTCACTGGGGAATGAGAGTGGACACACGGTCACAACCGCAGTTATGGAAACTTTGCTCTTTTATGAAGAGAAAGATGAACTATGGAAAATAAAATGGAGAACAAATTGCAAATCATTCCAAATTATTAAAGCTATTAACTCTGAGCAATTGAGATTTCTCTTAATTAAAAAGAAAAAAAACCTGCTCAAGGAGGACAATGATGAGCTGCCTTCTCAAGAAATCCAGCCCAAGGCCTAATATTGAT